GCTTATTATGTCAATAATATGAGAAAGTAACAAGAGAGGCATTTGTGTCACTGTACCGGATGGTGTTAACGAGGCTGACGGGGATTTAACAAAGAGGGAATGCCTGTTTTGATAAAGACAATCATTTTCATGCGACCTTCACATTCTTCCCTGATTCAAGTTCTGTCTATTCACAAAAAAGAGGTGTGATTCCAAAGCGAGATAGGTAAAAGAAGGGAAGGTAAAGAAGAAGAAAAGAATGAGAAATGGAAGAAGAAACAAGAGAAAGAGGAAGAGGAGGAAGTGGAGGAAGTCGAGAAGAAGGAAGAGGAGAAAATCGAGAAGGAGGAAGAGAAGAAAGCCGAGAAGGAAATATAATTGAAAAAATGACAGAACTCCAGAAACCAATTTGGATGAATTGAATCATCCTTTGTTGTCAGATTCCACGTACTGCTGGCACTGTGTCGCGGATTTGGTTTGAACTTGCACAGACGCGCACGTGGGTGTGAGTGCCTCGCGCATATGTGTGTGTGTGTGTGTGTGCGAGTGTGTATACATGTACGGTATATCTGTGTAATTATTTATGTACACACACACACACACACACACACACACACACACACACACACACACACACACACACACACACACACACACACACACACACACACACACACACACACAAACATGTTTCTATACACGCATAGACGTTGATACATGCATGCATACACACATACATGCGTGTGTGTATTAATTTTCGTTTCTTTTGTGTCCAAAGCGAGGAAGTGTGACTGTTTTTGTATCTTCAAATTAAGCATGACACAGTTGCTAAGATCCCGATTCGAGAGAAAAACATCAACACCCACAGTCTTTCATCCTGCCTCCCCCTCCCTCGCATCCCTCGCCCCCCTCTTGAAACGGAGCCAGAACCCGGGATGGTCGGCCAGGGAGCATTGGGTATGGTGTTAGTGTAGTGGTGGTGGTGGGGTGGAGGGGGGGAGGGGGAACCGGCTGATGGCGTTGAGCAGCGGTCGGAACGTTGTTTACCTGCGTGACGTCACGAACCTTGGAACGTTTTACGAGCTGGGGTAATCTAGGTGGATTTCTTTCCCCTCTCTCCCCTTCCCTCATCCTCTCCCCTCTCTCCTGAACGTGGGAGGGAGGAACTGTGCCCTTTTCTCCTTGGCTGAATCTCAAAATCCTTTGCCATTACTCTTTGTCTCTCCCTTCTCTGCCTCTCCCATTTTCTTCTTCTTCTCTCTCTCTCTAATGACGTCTATATTTCCCGGTAATATGCGGGAAAATGATGATGTAATTAAAAAATATATGGATTCTAGTAGTAATATTGGCAATTGTGATGGTTATTATTATGTCGATGATAGCTATGATAATGAAACAACAATAATCATGATTGTAATAGTACTCGTAAGAAGAATTGTTATAGTAGCAACAAAAAACAAACAATACTAATATCCATATTGATGAAACATGTGCAATAATCATATCAATGCTAACATACTAACATGAACAGCGTACTAACAAAAACTAAAATTACCAATAACAACAAGAAATTTAATAATCACCTACATTATCAAAATCAAGAAGTTATCTATCACATCTTTAAATTTCCCGTTTTCTGTAACTTATCTTTTTAACGCTTCGGCCCTCATGACGACAAACTTCAATTAGCATTCACCGAGCAGAGTGACAGTCTTACCATCTCATCCATATACATAGTCCAAAGCTGACTTCATCGCCATGCTATTAATGTAAAAGGACCGGCTTGCTTACGAATGATGTTAGGGATATTGATTTCTCTGAAGGTTCGCTTTTCTCATTGTCTTTGTTGTTGTTGTTTTAAGCTGTCTGGATTTTGTTTTTCTCTTCATGTTTTGTGGGCTGGTATACGTGTCCATCTAAATGTTTTATGGATGCATACTTACACACACACACACACACACACACACACACACACACACACACACACACACACACACACACACACACACACACACACACACACACACACATACACACACACACACACACACACACACACACACACACACACAAATACATACAAAAAGTACACACGCGTATGCTGTATGTGTAATAACTGTCACACACCACACTTACAACACTTGAGGTAAAAACATAAATCTATCCATAATATCTTCATACAGACATAAACATACATATACAGACAAACTTACATGGACACATGCAAATATATATATATACATATGTATATATATATATATATATATATATATATATATATATATATATATATATATATATATATATACACATATATATAAAGTATAGTTTCGTAACGTCACTTCCGGGTCAATCTGATTCACTTCAACGGAAAGAAATGAGAGGGCGGAGCGGATGACGCGTGTTTAATGGACTTTTAAAGAAAATTCCAAATATAGGAAAGAGAAAGGAAGTTAAAGTCGAAATACATTTATGGAATCTTTGAGAAAGGAAGAGGGGGATGAAGACGAGGAAGAGGGAATGAAAAAAAAAAGAGGTGGAAGGGAGAGGAGAGCTTAAGAACGAAGAACCAAGAAGGGGAAGGGGGGTAGGGCTAAGAGGGACTAAGAAACAAGAGGACCGAGAAGAGGGGAAGGGGAGTTAAAGAGGGGAAAGAGGGGTCAAGAAGGAGGGAAGAGAAAAGAGGGGAACATAAACGGCGAGGAAGAGGGCGAGGGGTAGAGGCGAGGGGAGGAAGCAGCGGTCAAACAACTTTCACATGACAAGTAGCGGGTCAGTCAGGCCATGATACCCACGGGTGGCCCGGAATATCTTACGATGTTGCCAAGGAGAAGATTTCTGAGACGTAATCATTACACTACAAAGGTGAACATGAATACCCATCAACTCGCCAACGTCCGCAAAGCTGTGCAGTCGACCTTGGCGTTTCTTGAATGCGTCTTTATAGGTTGCGTTTACATCTGGGCGAATGCTTGGTTTGGCTTGACTTTGCTTGATTTTACAGCAGAAATAGAATACGCAGAAATATGGGGTGGAGCGATTCGCTTCACGTGATACACTATACACAAAACAACAATTGTGTTAGCAAAATCTAAGCACAAAGAGTGATTGTGAATATTGCAATCATCCAGCATCCTCTATCCGACAAGGTCAATCGCCATTGTCAAACTGACTTAATTATGTCAAAATCTAAATTTAGATATAAAGGAAACGAGTTGAATACATTCAACAAGCTCTAACACACACACACATACACAATCACTTCAACACTTATTCTCGCAAACAAGAAACGAACCTCACACAAATACGGACATGCAAGCTTAACCTTAAATGTCTTAATTTAAATAGACAGTGACTGAAGGTGCGATTGCAGCTGTGGGAGAAATGGATGAAATAAAGAGATAGAAGTCATATCAAGAGAGGAGGGAGCTAGTAGTGAAAAAGGGAAGCGGGGGAAATTAAGGTTAGAATGGAAGAAAACGATGTCAATGACAGACCATTAGTGAGGATTCGTGGTGTCAGTTATTTATTTACTTAGATTATTGTTCAGTTCTTGTCCATAAGGATATCGCTTGCGAAAATGGAAAAATGTTTCTGAAAAAGTTATATCAATTACACGTATTCCCAATCATTATTTATGTTTGGCTTTATTGTAAAATCAATTATCCCTTTGTCTGTTAGTCTGTCTCTCTAGCAAACAATATAAAACTATTTTTTCATGAGAAGGCGCACGTACAAAAAAAAGTAGGAGAACAATTTAAAAATATGTTCGGAAAATTATTTGCACGTGCAAAGATACGGAGTACATGATAACGTCCGTCTGCATATGCAATTGCGTATTTGCTTGGGTTCTCGCAGCGATCGTGTGTGTTTGTTCGTGTGTGGCTGAGACGCAGAAGGTCAGCGGCGTGCGCAGGACCTCCTCAGCTACTGTGTACGAAAAGCAAATGACATAAGATGATCAGTCTCATTTGCAACCCGTCTCGCCATGCTTCAGAAAACACGTTCCGGAACGCGGGCATGCACTGTGTAAGGAAAATCTTGTGAACGGCATAGAAACAAACGTAGATTATATATAAAAAAAAAACGACGTATGTGTTCGCGTTGAAAAGGTTGAAGGTTGGAATCGCGTATTTTATTACTTTGGCATTTGAGGATCAGCTGCTGAGTGTTCGGAAAAGTAATTAAATGGCACTATTTTACGCCGTGAAAGTCAGTAACTGGAAAGCCCGTAATGATAACTCGTATATGATTAGAAAATGATGATAAATAACGACAGCTGTGAGGCGTGTGATCCATAGCGCATTCAAAGGGATCGAGTAACCTATCATTCGAACCCATGTGTACGAGTGTAAAACGCTTCGAAATGTAAATGTTGTCTTTGAAATTACTGAAACATATTACAGAGACGCGAGCTGGACATGACTGAAACATATTGCAGAGACGCGAGCTGCACATAGATGTTAGCTTGTAGTGATAAGAGATGTGTGGATTATGATAATATTTTCAGCTTAATCTTCGCCCATCGATTTCCTCGCCGTGTACTGTCTCCCTTAATCTTATTTTCCTCTTGCCTTCGACTTTTCTCGGTTCGAATCCTGTCGACTGACATCTTCCTTCTCTCTGTCAGTCCTCAGACATCCTTAAGTCTTACCTAAATTCATTTGGTTAAGATGTTTACCTCGACTAACAAATTTCTCCATATGCCTATTCATTATATAGGGAATTATACCTAGACCTAATTCTTTATGTTCTGGTTATAAGCAAAATAGGAAATACTCTTTGTACACATAATCAAGTACGCACGCCAGCACACACACACACGCAAACACACACACACACACACACACTCACACACACACACACACACACACACAAACTTCTTTATTCTATCACTCACTTCACTCGCCTGGTCAGGAGATAACGGCGATAACACAAAGCTACATTTTGTTCCGGCCTGAGTGTCAGTTCCCTCCCATGTCACTTATCTCTCTCTCTCTCTCTCTCTCTCTTACTCACAG